CAGGCGGTGGTGGCGCACGCCTTTAATCCCAGCACTCGGGAGGCAGAGGCAGGCGGATCTCTGTGAGTTCGAGGCCATCCTGGTCTCCAAAGCGAGTTCCAGGAAAGGTGCAAAGCTACACAGAGAAACCCTGTCTCAAAAAAAAAAAAAAAAAAAAAAGTTTGATTTTGCATTTAAAAAAACCTAAAATGTATGCCAATTTCACATATGCTACAAATAAAATCAGTATGAGGGTAAATAATTTTATACTATAAAAGATCTTGTGAGCCCTAGGATGCCTCATGGGTAAAATGTGCTAGTACTTATTCTTGTACATGTGGATATATTTTGTAGTTATAAAGTCACATGAATTGTTAATAATCAGTTCATACTTCTCCTTTCCACCTACTAACACAAAATACTGTAAAAAAAATACTTGATTTATACACTCTTAATTAATTTTTCATGTAAAAATACTGATATCTAAACATAAACTCATCTATCATTTTCCCAGAAATATATATATCAAAACAGATATAGTCATGTTCATTGTTTTAAAACATTACGCCAGGGCTGGCAGATGGCTCAATATTAAGCATTTTCTGTATATGCATGCAGACAGGAATCTGGATCCACATAAACTCCAGGGGGGCATGGTGGCCCACCTGGAATTCCAGCAGTAGAAGGCAGACAGAGGAGATCCCAAAAGCAAGTGCTTCTAGACCAGCCGGATAGGTGAGAGAGGGTTCAGTGGGAGACCCTGCTCAAGTGAATAAGGTGGAGAGAGATCAAGAAGACTCCTAAGTCAATCTTGGGCCTCTAACTACGTGCACATCCATACACACACACAAGAGTGTCTGCAGACACATGTGTACTCAACAGATGCAAACCACACACACACACACAGGAGGAAAAAATAAGAAAAAGACTTAAGACAAAAAAAGAATCTGAAATGAGAACTGTGAGAAGAACTGGATGTTGGCTAGTAAGAAGCCTGGGCTCAGGCAAAGAAGGGAGGCTATGGGAGAAACAGCTGTGGGATATGAAGAACTAACACATGGATGTGAAGGTTAAAGATGACAGCCAAAATTACAGCAATTTAGTTACAGGTTAAATTGGGTTTTATTTGTAATTCAAGAATCTGGGCAGAATCTATCCTACAAAATAAAATGAGAATTCCCACTGAGCAATGACAGAGTAATAGGTTTTCCAAAGTAGGAGCAAGGAAACAGAACAGAAAATAAGATCAAGCAAGGAGGGGTAAATGGAGGGTTGGAGGGAGGAAAGGAAAGAGGGAAACAATGCTATTATAATCCAAAAATAAAAGTAATTTTTGAAGGCTGACTGGTGAACATAAGGTTGGGGACATTTTTTGGTGTTTGTTATTTGTTTAGGAAGGCTGACAGGCATCACATGGGTCTAGTTCATTAACCACTCTCGGCAGAAAAAAATTCTTCCAGGGGGGAATTTATTGGCTTCCCGGACGTTTCAGTCAGATTATGCAATTCTGCTAAGTGACTCAGTTCAGTCTTATCAGTTATGGCCTAGCATAGGAGCCAGTTCCAGTAACATTTCCCCCTCCTTCCACAGGAATAAGAATTACTATCAAGTTTAACTTGCAAAGAATGTTTAATACCAAGAACTTAGAAAAAAGACAAGCTCATACAAAGTATCTCATGATAAAATACAGCACTGTGGATTGGCTGTTTCTTCCATAAAGAGTCACATATGAAAAAGGTAAAGAAAATACATCTATTTATGAACAAATAACCAAATTTGCTGATACTATGATCTTGCACTTTCCAGGCCCCAAAAATTATGAGAAAAAAATGTTTGTTGCTTAATCCATTGATTGTGTTATAGCAACACAACCTAGGTAAGTTATTATAAGTCATAAAAATCATATATGAATACAGACCTTGTAGGAGTTACTATCGTATTGCTGTACCAAAACGCCACAATCAAGACAACCTACAAACCAAGTGTTAACTGGGCTTATGGCTCCAGAGGGTAGAAGTCCATGACGGCAAAGTGAAGGACAGCAGCAGAGCAGTGAGAACGCATGTCTCAAACCTCCAACAGGAGACAGAGTGCACTGGGGATGGCTGGACGCTTTCGAAACTTCAAAGCTCTCCCCTATGACACAACTCCTCCAACAAGGCCACCCACCCCCAATCCTCCCCAAATAGTTCTACCACCTGGGGACCACGATTCAAACATATGATGGAGGCCATTTTCATTCAAACCACCACAGACCTGAAGCGCATATTAAAATATTCAAATGCCTTAGTAGGCTGCTCTTTTTCCACCCTCCATTACTGGTACAACCTGAACCTGAACAGTCTTATAGATAAACACATCAGGACTGTAAACATGGATTCTTTCAGGATAAAAGACAAATTCTGAGGCAAAATTGGGCTTTTTTTTCCTTGTCTTTGCAAGATCCATTCCCTGTCCATCAGCATTTCATGCTATTCATGCCATAGGAAGCCCAAGGGTAAAAGAAACGGTTCCTTAAGATATACTACCCCTGCTTCTGTTCTGAGTATAACTCTCTTCCACCAAATTTTATGATAAAATACTGACCAAAATCAACTTACTCTTTCACATCATACTCTATCATTAATGGAAGTTAAGGCAGAAACTTAAGCAAAGACCATGGAACACTGCTTGCTGGTTTACTCAGCTACCTTTCACACACAGCCTAGGCCTATCGCCCAGGAATGGCACTAGTCACTTCAATCAGTGTGCTGGCTAGTTTTATATCCACTTGACCCAAGCTAGAATCAGTAGAGAGGACAGAACCTCTACTGAGAAAATGCCTCCACAAGACCATGCTGTAGGAAAGCCCATAGGGCATTTTCTTAGTTAGTGATTGATGGGGAGGGCCATTGTAGGTGGGGCCATCTCTGGGCTGGTGGTTCTGGATTCTATGAGAAAGAAGGATGAGTAAACCATGGGGTGCAAGCTAGTAAATAGCACTCCTCCATCAGCTCCTGCCTCCAGGTTCCTGTTCTGAGTTCCTGTCCTGACTTCCTTCAATAATGAACAATGATGTGGAAGCATAAGCCAAATAGGCCTTTCTTCCCCAAATTGTTTTTGGTTATGGTGTTTCATCACAGCAATAGCAACCCTAACCAAGACAATCAGCAACCAAGAAAACAACCCAAAGATATACACAGACCACTCTGATGGAAGCAGTTCCTCAACAGAGTGTCTCTTTTCCCAGGTGACTCTAGTTTGTGTAAAATTGATGAAAACTCACCAGCACACTGTGGCACTATAAATGCAGTTGTCGCCTCATCCTAGCTGTCTAATGAAACACCCATTTGTCCTCAGACAGCACCCGCTTATTAAAGCCCCCCAAGTACAGAATAGCCTTTTAACAGGTACCAGATTGCTGTGTTGCCTTTGGGGATTACAAATTTTTGTTTCATGCTACAGTGATCCGTAAAAGGCAGTAACTGTGTCCTACTCACTTCTGACCTCTAGAGCCTAACCAAGTGTCTCAGCCTGTTATCCTAAGTTCCTATGGCAGATCTACTAGCACAGTCCCCGTGAAATCAGTTCCGACCCTTCCCTCTTCACTTGGAAATCCTGTATTCTCACCCTCAACCAACAACAGAGACTGGGAGCAAGTCTCTAACTAGATGCTTCCACATATAGTTGCTCCGTAGGAAATACCATAAAATAAGAGAACTGATGCTCATTAGAAAACTAAGTGGAAACACCAAGTACACACACGTGCCCTGGAATCTGAGAGTCTCTGACAGAGGTAGCATTTAGAGATACAACCCATGAACGGGCTAAGTGTGGACAGGGACAGATGCAGCATTCCAATGTAAAAAGATCAGTGCTCAAGAACAAAAAAAAAAGCACTCAACGAACAAAGTGATTCAAGGAGTCATTCAGTATGGTACTTTCTATTGAAACCTACATGCATTGGACCCTGTACTGGTTAGTTTTATGTCAACTTCACACTAGCTAGAACCAGAAGTTAGGAGGTACTCTCAAGTGAAAGCATGTTTTCATAACAGGCTGTAGACAAGCCTGTAGGGCATTTTTTTGATTAGTGATCCATGGGGGAGGGCCGAGCCCCTTGTGGGTGGGGCCATCTCTGGGCTGGTAGTGGGGTGGGGGGCAGTTCTATAAGAAATCAGACTGAGCAAGTCAGGAGGAGCAAGTCAGTAAGCAGTATTCCTCCGTGGCCTCTGCATCAGGTCATAACCTCCAGGTTCCTGCCCTGTTCCTATCCTGACTTCCTTCAGTGATGGACTACAGCGTGGAAGTCTAATAAACCTTTTCCTCCCTCCACATGCTTTTGGTCATGATGTTTCACTGCAGAAACAGAAACTCTAAGACAGACTCTAAGGCATTATATTTCTTTCTCCAAATAGTAAGTCTTCCAAAAAAACAAAGTCAAGCCTCTCAGCATTCATTTACTAGTGACAGAAAATCCTGAAGTTAGACCAATAGCATATGCATTGATCCGCTCCAAAGCACCACGTCTTTCGGAATATTCACACAAAACAAATTGGAGGATACAGCAGTTCCCTTAGCAAATTTCATTTTAAATGAAAGCCTCTTCCGTTGTTTTAGCCGCTAACATTCTGCCTGTAACAACCAGTGTCTTCCAACCCCCTTGGAAATACGAGTTTGGCATAACTTTATGAAGATGTTTTAAAACGCAACCAGTTTCCAAAAAGAGAACGAGTGAAAAGTGTCAATGTTCACGGAAGGCAGAGAAAGTTAGATCCGTGTCCCACAAGCTCCTATAAGGAAGGGGCTCACTGCACAAACAAGTCTTCCTGACTTGACTTTGGAAAACTCTCACTGGTGCAAAATGCAGAGCACTCCTCTCTCCTGAACACTGTGGCATCCACGCGCTCCTGACACTAAGGGACCCGGGAGGTCGCCCACACACGCCCGCTAGGTCCGACCCGGGTTCAGGCAACGTGCGACAGCGCCGCACCCTGTTCTGGATCCAAAATGAAGAGAAAACCCCTCAGGGCCGAGCTCACCTGCCTCCAGAGTGGGGACGCAGCTCCACTGGGTCTTGGTCCCGAGAGCGCTCAGGTGCGCCTGACTTGTCGCCTAGCAACGGTGAAGCTGTCCGCTCTTCCTCCCGCCCCTGAGAGAGTGGGTTTTTAAAAGGTTTGTTTCCGGGTCGAGCGGCCTTTACGCAACGTAAGGTCTCAGCCTCCCTCGTTTAGCCTTGGGGGAGGATAGAGCCTCGGTGGCGCGGCGGGGGCTGTCGCTCAGGGGTCGTTTCTCCTCCCTCGAGTTAACGCCTCCCCTCCCGCCAATTGCTGAGCTCCGTCAGTCAGGCGTTTCAACCTCAGCACAAACCCTCCGCTCACGGACGTCCTCCAATCACAGAGGCTCAGCCCCGGGGACTACTTTGCAGTCCGCGAAGCGAGCAGAAAGGAGGGCCTTTCGGGAACTGTAGTTTCTCACTGTCAGGAATACACGGAGATGGGTGCCAGAGACCCGCCGGATGAACTACACTTCCCAGAAAGTGCAGGAGAGATCCAGCCGAACCTTCCCTGGCGAGCTCAGCGCTCACTCCCAGAGTCGGTTCCGCTGTAGAGGTGACCTGACTCCTGAAGACCGCCTTTGCAGGTGCACAAATCGTCCACGCAATTCTCAATAATGGTGAGTATGGGCTCCTGGATCCTGCAGCAGCTCCGGCCTCTCGGCTTCATCCTGTGCTTGACGCGCTTTGGAGAAGCAGTAATGCCAGGCGCTGTCCTTCGCGCGGTTTGCAAAACCCCACTCATCCTCGCAGACTGTCGCAGTAATCCAGTATTTGGAAGGGGGGTTGCATCTATCAGGGAGTTCTTAAAAGGACTCTAGAGAAGTCGTTGTCCTTGGAGAGACGTGTTTCGATCCTGACGCATGGCTGAGGGACAAAATTTTCTCCGAAGGACGTTTGAGGATTTGACGGGGATGAGATTTGGTGGGAGGGAAAGAATTGGGTCCTAACCTCTATTTCGTCACTTAAGCTCTTGGAAGGAGTAGGCCTGTGATGTTGAGGTAGGTAGTGCTCCAGGTTATGATCCCAGTTTTCAGGAGACATGTTTCTGCCATATCTAATTTCAAGGGGGAAAAAAAATGTTACTGAAAAACCTATTCTTGATCTTCTTATGTAATGCCAGGGCTCGTTAGCATCGCTAGTCAAACAATTAGTGTGGATATTCTTTACTATTCTGTCACGTATTGCAGCATACCTACTTGCAAATGTAGCGCAACCATCTTGTTGAAAGCTCTAGATCGCTGGATCTTCCTGTCTTGTCCCAGCTGCGGGGGAGGGGGGGTGAAGGAACTCTGACGTAGGAATAATCTGCATGCTCTTTGAAGGTGACATTTATCACCAGACTGGAAATTGCTACAGTACTTTAGAATTTATATTTTGAAAATACTTTTTCTCCTTTAATCCCAAGATAGGGAGTATGAGAAAATATTTGGATGAATTGGAAATTTCACAGAACCCGAAAAGACATGTTTCAAAGCAGGGACAAAAACTCCCTCAACCTCTATAAGAGACCCCAAAGGGACAACTACTAATTCCCAGTAAATGTTATTTTGGCACATAAGTAGTTATTTAAATTATGGCTTAAGTGGTTTCTACTGTAATGATTTTAGTCATAAAATGGGGGTGGTTACCCAAGAACTTCAGACTTTAGAATTTTAGATCTAGATGAAAACCTTTAAAAAATCATCTTAACCAAAGCCCCACTTAAAATACTGAAACTTAGTTCTTGAGACCCAGAATATGAATTTCTCAAGGTCACAAGATTTGGGTCTCTTCTTCTTCCCATTTTACCTTGACTGTATCACACATTTAGCAAGTCATTCTGTAATTTCAGTAGCTGAAGTTACCCGTTAAGATATAAACCCATAATGCCAGCATGTAATATCTGATAGCTTTATTCCTCATCTTTCAGAATACTGGAATTCTGAAGTTTAAAGGGGATTTGGAAATAATTTCATCTAATCTTAAAACAGCCTGGCAAGGTCATTGATTTCCCAAGGTCATGGAGATCCAGGGCCCCTGATGCATTCCCTATACAGTAGACAGAACCAGCCTCACCCCTAGAAGGTCACATCTGTGCCAGATGGCATATGCCAGATGGCATGTGCCAGGTAGAAGAGTTCTGTCAGGTTGCAGTCTCACATGATTCAGAACCTTCTTGTGTCCTGGGAAGAGTGTGTGAGCAAATTGCTGATTTAGAAAAGAGCTGTCAGTTCTGCTCAGTGTGGTGGTGCATGCCTGTGGTGGTGCATGCCTTAAATCGCATCTCTTGGGAGGCAGAGACACACGGAGCTCTGTGATTTCAAAACCAGCCTGCTCTATGTACCAAGTTCCATCCAGCCAGGGCTACATAGGGAGACTCTGTCTCAGAAAGAAAAGAGCTGTCTTTTTGTAAGCCAATCAAAAGCATTTTTTAAATGAACTCTTTGCCATTGTCCATAAGGGAGTGACCTAAGAGTACCTGAGGGACGGGAATGACACCACTTCTCTTTTGTATTGCAGTAAACTAGAAAGTAAAAAAGGAATGCTATTCTGTGGAATAACAAAGGGGAAAACTACAATTAAAGCTTTTCAACTAAATAGCACATTTTTAAGACAGCCTGTATCCTCAGGAAGGTCATTAATGCCCTGCCGAAAGAGAAGCCATTCCTTTTTGGATTTTGGCAGAATGCCCAGATATCTGAGCAAAGAATAGTAACCTGCATTGGTACTGTTGCATTGTGGGAAGTCAGTGGGATTCTACTACCCAACTTTCCAACTGCAGTGTCTCAGGAGAGCACTAAGAACCAAACTGATGGTTTCCTTTGCCTACATCATCATCATGCAGATACTAAGACAGCTCTTATGATGGAATGGCCCAGACACAGAGGGAACCTGCTGGAGTAGAATTAACTGTTGATTAGTTGGCCACAGCCTCTTCACTACAGACTGTGATACTGGGAACACATTTTTGAAAAATGGCTACATTACTCCGTTCTAACCATCAGCTAGAATTTTTGGAAGGTTAAACTTTATAGATGTGATTGGCACATTCTTCCTTTTTCTTTTTCTTTTTTTTTTTTTTGCTTTGTTTTCTTTTGTTTTTGGGGGGAGGGTTGCTTTGTTTTTGTTTGTTTTCAAGACAGGGTTTTTATGTGTAGCCTTGGCTATTCTAGAACTCTCTCTCTGTAGACTAGGCTGGCCCCCTCCCTGGTACCACGTTTAAAGGCATGCACCACCACCTTCCAGCTCCCCCTCATTTCTTATCCCAGTTTGCTTTGTGCTGTTCAAATCAAATTTGGGGTGAGGTTGGTGGTGATGATCTTTTGGGATGGGGTTGGTGGTGATGATCTTTTGGGGGGGTTGGTGGTGATGATCTTGAAGGGGCTGATGATCTTTGGTTGTTTGTTTTTGAAACAGGGTTTCATGTAGCCCATGCTGGCCTCTTGGAACTCCTGACCTTCATGTTCACCTCCCAGCCCTAGGATTGCAGGCATGTGCCACCATGCCTAGATATCAGTGTGGTTTTGTTTTTGTTTTATCTTTTCTTTACACTTACCCTTAAGCTTTACCTTTACATTATTCATTCAGTAAATATATGTTGAAACCTGTATGAAGAGTGCAAATTTTAATCAAAGGCAAACTGCTCTCAAGGGAACATCACAGTCTAGCTGAGTGACAGACATGGAAATATATAACTGCAGGATGTAGGAATCTCAGAGGCAATGTCCATGGTGTTCTCCCACCCACACACTCAAATAAATGTAATAAAAATATTTCAAAATTGTGACACAGTTTTGCTTAGTACAGCTGAAATGTGGCCCCTCAGTTTCCAGTCTTCTCAATACATGTGTACATGTATAAAGTATCTTCATTTTTTTTAAAGTACATTCAATTTGCTTCCAATTGTGTACATTTCAGTCTTTATTTACATGATCCAGCTATTTCTTAAGCAAGTACTTGGGTTCTAGCTGTGCACCTGTTTTTATCTATCAGTTGAGATATAGCAGTGGATTGAATTCAGGAAGATGAAATAGGCAAAGCCCCCAGAAGAGGGAAACAGCTTCTCCCTTCCCATTTCTCAACTTCAAAAGGAAAGATGGCAAGATGAAATATATATACAGGTCTATAATAGTATTGGCTCCTAATGATATATTAGAACATATATCGTAAAGCTGTGTATAGCAGAAAGTAACCATATAGGATAATGAGTGCTGTTCATACATAGAGTTTATTTTGGACATAGATACATGTTTTATTAAGTACATATTAATTAATATAGGTATATATTTTTATTGAAATTGGTTTATGTAGATATTAAGTTTAATATATCTAGAGATATGGAAACAGGGGAGAGATCCAGAGATCAAGGAGAATTTTTCTCCATAGCTTTCTGAGGTTTTATCTTTGATATATTTTTCTACTCCTATCCTGGGCATGTTTTTGAGGAAGAAAAGCAAGTAAAATCTACTATGGTCAAATTTATTTCTTTGTAACAATTAATACTTATTTCCTGAATTTTCTTTTTTGCCATCTGTGGGGACCAAGTCACTGAGTGCTGCTGACTTCAGGCCACCCATCTTCCCATCTCAGACGATGACTCACCTAGAAGAGACTGTTCTAAAAAAAGAGAGATGAAATGTTTCTATGTCCATCAATTTAGCGGGTCATTTCTTCATGCACGGAGGGACCAGGGTGACACACACTGCAAGCACAGTGCCCAGCATCGTCAGGGAAGGGACACTTTCTCTTCATCCTAGCCTATAAATTCACTGAGCTTAATTTAAACTTTTTCCAGTACTCAGCCCTCATTTTGAATACAGTTGTTATTTTTGTCTGTGTGTCTTCTTTTATTCAGAGTCTCTTAGACTGTAAAGCTGCTTTTTTCCTATTATATAACTATTATACTTTTTCTATGGTTTCTCTTCCTCCTTTTAAAACATACTTTTCCCTTGGAATCAGATTGTCAGCTAGTGCTGATTTACTACAATATTTAATACTAAAATTTATTATATTCCAGATGTTAATAATTTTCTACTTGAAAAAAAAAATTAAAGGCTTAGACCAGCAAGATGGCTCAGTGGGTAAAGGGAACCTGCTGTCAGGTCTTACAGCCTGAGTTTAATCCCCAGGACCCACACAAGGGAAGGAAAGAACCAACCCTCACAGCATGCTGTGTCATGTATACTCCCACCCCATATATTTTTAAACAAATATAACTTGTAAAATAAAGGCTTAACACTGAGCATTGTAATGCACACCTTTAATGTCAGCACTCAGGGGTAGAGGCAGGTGGATCTCTGTGAGCTTTAGGCTAGCCTGATCTACATAGGGAGACCCTGCTTCTAAGTAAATGCAGGGTTGTTTTTGCTCTTTGGGTAGT